ACTTTTATTTCTCTCCCTCTTGTCCCCTTTAGCACTCACGAAATATAAAATTGTATCCCATGAACCATTGGACCGCGCTTAATAACTATGGGCCGTCGTCATCCCGCCAATCCGCCTGCGTTTTTTTTTTTGTTATTTTTATTTTTCTGACACGTTGCTAACAAAACAACAACGTAACTTTACTGTAATATTTGTAATATGATAATTGGTCCTACGGTTTCGGAGAATGTCTTTCGATCATCTCCGATTGGGGGGATGTTAGTAAAATTAAATTCGGATCGGATATGTATTAACTACGTGATCGTGTTTTCATCAATCTTGAATTCGATAAGGATCCCATCGATCTGTGGATTTAAATTTTACAAATTTGTTCTATCAAATTCGACATTTTATCGAGAAAATATAATTCAATACAATTGCCGATTATTACATACTTTCCCGTTGCTAAATCGCGATCCACTCGGGAGTGTCGATCGAATGTGGGGAAGAGATGCGTTTGAAACACGAGGCGAATCAAATCGCCGGAAAATTCGAACAACAAAGCTGCCGCGACACATTCAGAATTTTTCTCGACACGATTTATCGGTCGATAGCGATGTAAGAGAAGCGATCGTAAGTAAACGGGGACAGATCAAAAACTCGTTTAAGAGAATAACGCGACGGCACGAATGGATTATTCTCAAAAAAAAAAAAAAGAAAGAAAGAGAGCGTATTTTCTTTCGGAAACAAATTCCAACGGACATTTTTGTTGTGTATTGATTTCGTTACGTCTTCTCATATTTCTTTTTTTTCTATTTGTAATCTCTTACCCGATTCTCGACAAGATCTGTGGTAGCAAAAATTGGGGCGGGCCGATCTACCGCAAACTCAACGACGGTAGACCGCCCTCAAGACGGCGGTACTCACAAATATCTATTTACAAAAATATACACATGAGCAACTTGCTTATCCGTTTGCGCTTCTTTTTCTCATTGTTGTTAGTATCTCATGCGCGTAAGTGTTTCTACCTTTTCCATATTTGTGGTGAAATTTATTCGCGAACAGCAGTCTCGAATATGTATTTTCACCTATTATCCGCGAATAAGTTTCGCCCAACATCATTCATCATGACGCACTTTTAGAGCACATCTAACTCGCTTTGTTCTATCTTCGCTTGCGTTTCATTTCGTTAAATTCATGCTATGGTATATGTTGTATATGCGGTATCTTTATTTTTCCTTTTTTTTTTTACTTTTCAATCGCACTAGAACCTCTACTTATTTCCCCCAGTTAACTCTAGGTAATGTAAATAATATGTATTGGTATAGTCGCATCTGTTACTGCTTTTCCTGTTTGCATATTAATTACTCTAATCTAAATTACTTCCCCCGTGAT